TCTGTCAGAGTTCAGGAACCGCTAGACTAAATAAGCCCAGTTCCCTCAGCCTCTCCTCAGAAACAATTTGCCCCAGCCCCCTAAATATTTTTGTTGTCCTCCATTGGAATTTCTCCAATTTGTCCACATCCTTTCTGTAGTGGGGGGCCCAAAACTAGACACAGTACTCCAGATGTGGCCTCACCAGTGCTGAAGAGGGGAATAATCACTTCCCTTGATCTGCTGGCAACGCTCCTACCAATGCAGCCCAGTATGCCACTAGCCTTCTTGGCCACAAGGTCACACTGATGGATCATATCCAGCTTATTGTCCACTGTAACCGCCAGGTCCTTTTCTGCAAAGCTGCTGCCCAGCCAGTCAGCCCCAAGCCTGTACCAGTGCACAGGACTATTCCATTCCAAGTGCAGGACTTTGCACTTATCCTTATTGAACCTCATGAGATTTCTTTTGATCCAGTCTTCCAATTTGTCTAGGTCTCTCTGAATCCTAACCCTACCCTCTAGCATATCTGCCAGTCCCCCCAGTTTGTGCCTTCTGCAAACTTGCTGAGGGTGCATTCTTTCATGTCACTGATGAAGATATTAAACAAAACTGGCTCTAGGTTGACCCTTGCGGCACTCCACTTGATCCCAGCTGCCAACTACACCTCAAGCCATTGACTGCTACCCTCCGAGTCTGATGATCCAGCCAGCTTTCTATCTACCTTACAATCCATTCTTCCAACCTATACTTGCCTGCGAGAACGTTGTGGGATATCATATTAAAATCCTTGTTAAAGTCAAGGTATACCACATCCACTGGTCTCTCGGCACAGAGCCAGACATCTCATCATAGTAGGTAATCAGGTTGGTCAGGCATGACTTGCCCCTGGTGAATCCATGCTGACTGTTCCTAATCACCTTCTCCTCCAAGTGCTTAGAAATGGATTCCTTGGGGACCTGCTCCATGACCTTTCCAACGACTACGGTGAGACTGACCGGTCTGTAGTTCCCTGGATCCTCCTTTTTTCCGTTTCTTAACTATGGACACTATATTTGCCCTTTTCCAATCTTCCGGGACCTCTTCTGATCATCATGAGCTTTCAAAGATGACCAGTGGCTCTGCAGTCACATTAGCCAACTCCCTCAGCACCCTCAGGTGCATCCCTTCCATGGACTTGAACACATCCAACTTCTCTAAACAGTCCCTAACCTGTTCTTTTGCCACAGTTGGCTGCTCACCTCCTCCCCAAACTGTGTTGCTAGGTGCAGTTGTTTGGGAGACCACCTTGTCTGTGAAGACTGAAGTGAAAAAGGCATTGAGTACTTCAGCCTTTTCTGCATCCGCTGTCACTAGGTTGCCTCCCCCATTAGTAAGGGACACACTTTCCCTGGTCCTCCTCTTGTTACTGACATACTTGTAGAAACCCTTCTTGTTACACTTCATGTCCCTTGCTAGCTGATACTCCAACTGTGCTTTGGCCTTCCTGATTTCATCCCTGAATGTCTGAGCAATACTCTTATACTCCTCCCTAGCTGTTTGTCCAAGTTTTCAGTTCCTATAAACTTTCTTTTTGTGGTTTTGCTCATTGAAGAGTTCCCTGCTATGCCAAACTGGGCTTCTATTATACTTGCTAGTCTTCCTACACTGTGGGCTAGTTTTGTTTCTGTACCCTCAGTAAGATTTCTTTAAAAGTACAGCCAGCTCTCCTGGACTCCTCTCTCCCTCAGACTGGCTTCCCAGGGGATCCTGCCCATGAGTTCCCCGAGTGAGTCAAAGTCTGCTTTTTTCCAAGCCCATGGTCCTTACTCTGCTGCTCTCCAGCCTTCCTTTCCACAGGATCCTGAACTCAATCATTGTGTGGTTGCTGCTGCTCAAGTTGTCATCCACTACTATATTTCCCACCAATTCTTCCCTGTTTGTGAGTAGCGAATCAAAAAGAGCACGGTCTCTAGTTGGCCACTCCAGCACTTGCACCAGGAAGTTGTCCTCAACACGCTTCAGAAACTTCCTGGATTGTCTGCTGGGAGGGCAATACAGCAGTGCACAGGCATCAGGGTGGTTGAAGTCCCTGATGAGAACCAGGGCCTGGGATCAGGAAACTTCTACTAGCTGTTCGAAGAAAGCCTCATCCATCACTTCCTCCTGGTCTGGTGGTCTATAGCAGACATCCACTAAAACATCACCCTTGTTGCTCTCCCCTCTGACCCTAACCCAGAGACTTTCAACAGGCCTATCTCCAGTTTCTTACTGGGGTCGTCAGCAAGCATACAGCTCTTTTACATGAAGTGCAACTCTTCCTCCTCTTCTCCCTTGCCTGATCTTCCTGAACAGTTTATACCCATCCATGGCTCCAGTCATGCCAGCTATCCCAGCAAGTCTCTGTTATTCCAATCACATCATAGTCCTGTGACTGTGCAAGGACTTCCAAATCTTCCTGCTTGTTTCCCAGGCTCCATGCATTTGTGTCCAGGCACCTAAGACGACTAGCTGATTGCCCTGATTTCTCAGGACAAATGAGAATGCCTCCCTTGTTGCCCCCTCCTGCTTGCACTTCCTCCAGGTCACTCACTTCCCCACTTCCCTCAGGTCTTTAGTCTCCATTCCCCAGTGAACCTAGTTTAAAGGCCTCCTCACTAAGTTAGCAAGCCTGTCTGTGAAGATGCTCTTCCCAGTCTTCATCATGTGGATCCCATCTCTTCCTGGCAATCCTTGGAACAGTATCCCATGGTCAAAGAAGCCAAAGCCCTGCTCATGACTCCACCTGCGCAGGCATGCATTGATCTCCCAGATGTCCCTGCTCGTGCCTGGGCCCTTTCCCTTGCAGGATCCAGGAAAACACCACCTGAGCCCCCGTCCCCTTCACTCTTGCACCCAGAGCTCTTTAGTCACTTTTGATCTGCTCAGGTTCTCCCCTAGCAGTATCATTGGTGCACGCATGGATGAGCAGCATAGAGTAGAAGGCTGGATGTGTCTCAGTAATCCCTCCATGACACCGCAGATCTGGGCTCCGGGCAAGCAGCATACCTCCCAAAAGCACAGGTCAGGCCAGCAGATAGGTGCCTCTGTCCCCCTCAGAAGGGAGTCTCCAGTCACCACCACCTATTGCTTCTTCTTGGTGGTGATCTTGATCCTTCCCACCTTGGGGAGGCATCACCCATCCTCTTCCACCATTGGAACATGCTTCTCTGTCTCTGTTGCTAGGGGACCACATCTGTTCTGCAGGTGAACTGCTGCAAATGTATATGAAGATTTCTGCTTGCTGCCAGAGGTCACAAGCTTCCAGCTTCCACCTTCCTAAGAGTCTATGTCCTTTCCCTTCTCTAGCGCTGCTGTTGGCAGTTCTTCCTCCAGCACTGAATCGATGAACTCCTCATTGTGGAGGATCCTTCAGTCTCACTACCTACACAACACTGTTGCTTCAAGTTGCTGATGAAAAGCACAATAGGTTTTGTATGTGAGTCCTGCCTCACACTCCCATCCCAAAACACAAGTGGAAGAGTTTGTCATATTTTTGCACAACTTTATGAATATAACCTGCCAGATCACACATGCAGGATTTGGGAAATCTTGATACAGACCTCTCCATCTGACACTCCTATGAAAAAAGCTTCAACAAGTCAGTTACTTTTAAAAAAATCTTTCCAGTTCTACCTCAGAAAGGATGTTCCCACTGTCTAAGGCATTACTGAAAGGGAAATAAATGGTTAAATTGAAAAGAATGTACATGTGATGGCAATTTTAGCTCACTTGCCAGGGCCTATACACAAGACACAGAAAAGCTAATTTTTTATCTTGATCTACTATATTTACTTGACTAGAACAAGGTTATAAGATGACTCCCAATAATTAGATTCCATGTATGGAAAACTTATAAATTTGTTATAGTTCTCCAGGTATAGAATCTAATTATTGGAGGTTTGCCTTGAATTTGACAACCTCCCACTGCTACAGCAGGGAAAATAAATCTGGAGGGGACAGGTAGCCCTTCGCTCTCTTCTTTCCTCTAACTTTTTACCCTGGTAGCCCCTTCCCCTTCTCCTTACTGTCAGTCCCTGCTCTCCCTGAGCACATGGAAGTAAGGAGCATATTTGAAAACAATAACCTTGAAATTAAACATGGCTGTAGCAATTTGCATACAGTACCCATGCACTTAGTTTATCTAGAATTGATGCATGCTTTTTTTTTTTTAAACTGCTGTAAGTTTTAGCACAGGTACTCCATAAACACACTTAAGCAGCACTCTGGCACCTACTTATATAAAGTACAAACTTTGCATGGTATTAGTCCAAAGCCAAATGCTCATGATTTACCACAGTTCATTGGGCTGGGCACCAGCAGCGTCAAGAGCATTTCAAGCCATGGTCACCCGACAGCTCATTACTGTTCAGTATGTGTGTGTACTCCAGATGCCTCCCACAATGGATCCACGTGCTAATTAGTCCCCACTCATGACTAGAACCCAGTGTTCTTGTTGCAAGCCCTGGGATGCTCCAAAAATTTATATGCAGATGAGGTGCAAGACAACCTGGTCCTGCTTCATTCACCTCATGGAGGATGGAGTCATACTAATCATATGTGCCAAGCTGAAAGAGGAGGCGACAGAGGGATTCTAGGTGAACTGTATGAAATGTCACAGCTTACCATGACTTGAAAAAGCAGTGAAAGGGAATGAGCTTAATGGGCACTACCGTAATCTTATTCAAATTGACTTCACTAACCTATTCTTGTGGTATGGTCCTATCAGTATGTTTGCCCAATGTGGGCCATGTTGTTTCATAGTCATGCTCAGTGTTGAATGCATTTAACCAAGTTCATAGCTGGTTTTCATTACTGAGCACATGCTGCTTTTGGCAACAGACAATGAGTTTAGTGATATTTCCTCATGTGCAATTATAAGACAAGGGGCTTTTTCCCACCCCCCATGCCACTGGGGAGGAAAAAAACTAATCTTGTATTCAAGTACATATGGTAGATGCTTGTTACATACAAAGAATAACACTTAATCTCACTGATAGTACCTGGGGTATTTATGTAGCATCAGCAGACGAAGACGGTCTTTAGCCTCTCCAATATTAAGTGGTGGCCTTTGTGCATAAGTGAAGTCCAGGTCTAATCTACTACAAAGATTGTGAAGTTTCATTAGAAGCCCAGCATTGTCCTGTTTTCCAACAGAAATCCAATGTACTCCTCCGGGAAAGCACTCTAACAAAGATAATACAAAATAAGATATAAGCTTAAATATGTTAGCTGCTGCTGATACTACATTTGATCTGAGCCTTCAAGAGGCCAAACCAAACTACACCAAGCAATTAAAAAAAAAAAAAAAAAAAAAAAAAAAATCAGGCTAGCTAAAATGGAAGCAAGTTTTAAGATTTGATAAGCAGTTTTCAAAGATGAGGCAAATGTTTCACTCACATTCCATAAATATGTCTCCATAACTCTAACCCCAAATGAGTGTTTACATTATCCAAGTAAGACCGCACTGTACGCGTCTTCAAAATTGAAAATCCTATCCAATGTGAACAATCTCCACTGGAAAGCAGGGCAGCATTCAGACATTCTAAAGCAGGAGTGCCCAAACCCCCGCCCCCGGCCAACTGTGATCCATCGCATCTGGCCAGCGGGGCTCCCCAGGGGTTGGGAAATTTAGTAGTGGGTGAGCAGTGGCCATTAAAATGGCCACCCTCCTCACTGCCAAATTCCCAAACCTCAAGCCCCGCACACGCAGTTAGGGCCAGGGCCAAGAGAGGCTGCAACCCCATTACCCCTGGGATCAGACCACGCCCCCTCCCCCTGCAGCTGTATTAGGGCCAGACCATAGCCTCAGATTGGGGACAAGCCACACCCCATTTCCCTGCAGTCCGAGGTTGAGGCTAGGCCACACCAGCAGAACTACACCCCCTGCCTCCTCCTGTGGGACCAGGTCAAGCCCCCTTCCCTTGTGGGGTTGAATTGCCCCCCACCTTTCTCTGCATGCCTGGATGGGGTCCACTGTGCCTGCCCCAGGAGCCCAATAGGGACCAACAGCCAGATCTGGCCCACGAACCAAGCACCACTGTTCTAGAGCATGAAGTGACAGTCAATTTTATAAACCAAAAATTGTTTAGGGATATCCAACTAATTTAGGGTCTGAATCACTTATTTACTTTCAATGGGATATAGGTCCCTTAGCCATTTATGAAAATTTTCCTCATGCAAGAAGACTGAACATACATAATTTTTATAAAAAACTGAAAAGTACCTTCCAAGAGGCTTTGATCTCTTAGTGCCTCAGCTGTTAAGACAGACTTTCCAGAACCTGCCATTCCATAAACAGTAACCCAACCTGGATCATTTCTTAAGTTGTATAGTTTCTGTCTAATTTCATTTACCAGTTCCGGACGAGTAACAAACACAACTGGTCTCTGTGGCACTCCACCTTCACAGAGGATTGTCCTCACTGAAATAAAATCACGCATGTAAATAGGAATAGGATTTCTAAACGATTTCCCTACCTCTTTAAAAAACAACACTCCTTAACTATTCATGAAAACAATGTATGGATAATGAGAGTTGCTAAATTTCAGTTTGTTTCCAGAACAGGTGGAAAGTAGTTACCTTTCTCTCCCACACCGTCTCAAAAAATATTTATTTCTACCATAACTGAAGTATTAATCACTAGATTGCCTGTGATCTTCATGATACATTTTCCATTTAAATATCAATAAATGTGTAATAAAGCTGATGTCATATTTGGTCAAATATGGTGTGAACCCTTGTTTCACTGGAACTGCTCTGAAACTATACAACTATACATGGAATACAAACATGGCAGATCAGATGCTTACATCAGTTTAGTTTATTTACAGTAATTGAAAACCCACAAAAACTTTGGTGTATAGAAAAAAATCTAGTAGTTAATTAAGCCAAATTGCTAATGTTCCCCAAATAGTGAATTAACGTAAAAAAAAAAAAATGGGGAAATGTCATTGCCAAAAAGAAAGTAAATTTCAGAGCTTGTGATTTCTATCAAGATTCATTTCTCTAAAATACACTAACAGAAATAATTTTCTTCCATCAACCACTTAAAAGTGTTTAGACTTAGATGACACTGTCCAACATATAAACCTTTATTTTTTAAAAACAGCATTTTTACAATCATCTATTACTGGACATGGAAGAGCTAAACAACTTAAAAAACATACCTCCCCCCATTAAATTACACGAAACAGAAATATTCACTGTAGCCACACCAGGTCAAATGTGTAAGTGCACCAAGTACTGCTTTTTTCTCAAAAACAGTTCACATATTTACTCATTTAATAAAATTTAAACTACAATTCCAATCTTTTTCTTCAAAAACAGCAAAGCTGATGGTTTATACTAACCACAAAAAGCTACTCCATCTGTAGAGTCCTTTCTATCATAAGAGGTGATACTTGGGATACCATCATGGAGAAGAGCTGCAAGATCCTTGTACCCTTCATGAAGCAGTGCATTATAGAAAGATATGTATGAGTTGTTATCTTTTTTAAGAATAATGTTTATTAGCATAGCTGCTCGGTCCCGCTGTGTAGCCTACCAAAAACAAAAAGAAAAAAAGTGTTTTTTAAAATCAGAGATATAGGAACCTACTAAGTCATCTGGTTTCAATGTCAAAAAGTTAAGGACTGCACTTCTTATTAACAGGAATGCTTGCTGCAAATACAATCCAAATAATGGACCAACATCAAAGCTTTACTTGAAGAAGACATTCAAACACCTTTAAGCACAAAGATCTTCTTATGGCTTTAAAGGAAGTAGTTGCACACATCAAGCTGTGCATAAGCTTGAATACTTACCGAATAATAGTCTAACATGTTCAAACAGTCCAAAAGGAATATTCCAAAGCAGGTTATGCAGTATAGAAAAACTAAGATGAGTAAAAAGATGCCCATTTTACCTGTGCTTTAACTTTCTCCTCTTCCTGTAATGTTAGTACTTGATCAGTAATCATATGATCCATAACATAAGAGGTTTTGATGTCTCTTTCCAATGCTAACCGGTTTAGAAGCAAATGATTTCGACTCTTCACATCCATTTTGCTTCAGCGTGGAAAAAACAAAATAAATCAAGCCTGAACAGGAACGTGAACTAGATAAGACAGGAAAAAAATACCCAATTTCAAAATATATTTCCTTTTGACATTCCATTAAAAAAAAAAAAAAAAAAAAAAAATGGAGAAAAAAAATTGTAACGGAACTCTTTCAACATTAACCCCGCTAAAATTTGGCTACTTTTCAGTTAGGCTTATTCTGTGAGCCTGGGATGCCAGCAACAAGAGCGTCCTGCGTGCCTGCCCCATCTTCTGCCACTACGCCAAGATGATGCACTGCCTCGTGGTGTCCGATACCATGTTGGTCCCATGACATCTATGTTGAGCACATCACGGGTCACCGCTAGTACACCAACCCTGCGAGACGGGCTGCCACCGGACCGGACCCAAAGGGCCTGAGCCCCTGCGATAGCTTCTCAGTCTATAGAATCTTATCTCCAACCTACCCCCTCCACCACTGCAGACCATTGTACGGGTTTGTGTACATCTATCTTCTTTCTTTCTCAGCGTCACGACCCCGCTTCCTCCCCTTCCCTCACCCCCAGGCTTAGTTGACTAACACTGTATTTTCTGTATCCTAGTTGCGTTTCCCCCATCCCTCTTACGTTAGTCCCTCACTCGAGTGCTCTGTATTTCCCTTCTGGCTTTGTCATCTTTTTGGTTCATGAATCTTAGCATCTACTAATAAAATTCAGTTTGTTCTAGCTGTGGTCCATGGAATACATGAAAAATAAGATTTATGAGGTAAAGTAGTATCTTTTATTAGAATAATTATAACCATACAATTGGTGCAATATAAGATCTTATCTCACTTCACATATCTTGTTTTTTCACTCTAGAAACTGTAGAAGTAACCAGTATTTCAGCCTAGTACTTTGTTTTGTGGTATAACCATTTATTTTTTCTCTGAAATGTTCAGATGTTTAAAACTTACTGTTCAGTTGCGCTGGCAAGCTTCACAGCATTAAACAAACATCAGGGAAATCCCCCTCACTCCCCCCCCACCCCCCAACTCAAAGGAAAAATATATATATTTGGATTTTAAAAGTTCCTAAATACAATGTGTGTGAATTGTTACCGGTCCTCTGAAAGTACTAAGTAAATGCCACAATATTGTGCTCAATTTATTAGAAAGAAAAAAAAAGTCTTGCTGAGTTAATTTGTTTTATGTGATGGCTCCATTTAAATTTGCAAATAAAGCTAAATTAAAACCTATTTCATGCTTTAATAATCAGGATCAAAATTCAATACACTACCTCTTCTAGGTCAACTAATTTTCCATTTTTTAAATAAAAAATGCACTAACTTGGCAAGATTAAATGTTAACAAGTTAGCCCTTTTTAAGTTTATACCAGAGTCATGTTTTCAAGAACTCTCAAAGCTAAGGAATCGCAGTCCTTACATACTCTAAATTTCACACACAGTGGATGCATCTACACATGCACTTTACTACAGAGTTGCCTAATTAGCTCTAATTAGTTGGGGACAGTACTATTTTAGGACGGAATCATTAAATGCAATCAAATGCACATGTAGATGGTGACTGGTGAGTATAAATTGCACCTGGTCAGCACAGGCAGCTGGGGACCAGAATCTGGGCTCCTGCCACCTGCTCTGCTGCCTGACACCACCACCACGAGCCTGAGCCTGAGCCTGAGCCTGAGCCTGAGCCTGAGCCTGAGCCCCCCGCAGGCCCTCTGCCAGCCTGGAGCTGCTCCACCCTGGCTCAAACTGATGCAGTCCCAGGTACATGTGTAGACACTGTGCATGTGAGCAGTTGACTCCAGCTCAAATGGCTGCAGAGTTTATTGCTGCACATTAACAGCACATGCACACAGCATAAACTATATATACCGGTCTTGTTTGGTAACCAGGACATTTCCCAATATGCAGGATGGACTAAGATTACCCTTCAGCCCAGAGGCATCCAATTAATTTGGCCCCATGGACAACCCACTTCTGGCTGCAGTCACTCCACTGCCACAGCTCCAGGACCCAGGGGTGAATGCCGCTTGTTCCCTTGCCTGCTCTCCTACTGCCGAGTTTAGTTGCCAACAGTGAGTGAAGACTCCCAAATCAGCAATGAGCAATGGCGAAAGGCAACCAGCAGTAGCATTCACCCCACTGGATTCTGGTGCTATGCCAACAAGCCTGGTGGGACACAATTTTACCACTCACAGGCTGCACGTAGCCCTTGGGCTGCTAATTGTAAATCCCTGTTGTAGCCCATCATTGTCAGTCTTGAAATTGACCAAGTCCTGTCAATTTAAATGCTGCCATTAAAAGCAAAATTCTCTAAGGCAGGGTTCCCAAACATCTCTGGGGGGGCGACTGGTGCCACCTTAGTCGCAGGGGGGCACATGCTTCCCCACCAACCAGTCAGCAACTGGGGGGGGGGGGGTTTCCCCACAGCCGATCCCGCCAACTGGGGGGGATCCCCCTCAGTCAATCGCACTGATGGGGTGGGGAGGAGGAGGGGGGTGTCAGAGTGGCTGCAGATGCTTCTGGAAGCGTAAGGGCACTCTGCTCCCTGGCTGGCACTTGCAGGGGGGGCTCTGGTGCTCCTGCTTGCCCCCCTGCCCATCACCTAAGTGGCAAGCGCGGCTGGTCAGAGGGGGCACAGGCACTCTTGAGGGGTTGCCACTGGGAGAAACAGTGTAAGAGCAGATTTAATTGTCATTATAATTGGCATTTAAGGGGTTAAAATATAAACATATGCTGGTAGGAGGATGTGGCAACTGGTAAATCTGGGAGGGGGTACGCAATAAGAAAGTTTGGGAAACTGCTCTAAGGTAAAGCAGAGCCTCTTCATTAAGCCTTAATGAAGTGCAAACAGCTCAGCAAAAGGGACACATACTTTGTGTAACACAACTTAACAAATATTAATGAGGTACAAAAAGCTGAGAGCAGGCTGTTTCTGCAGCAATGAGCACTAAATTGTCATAAGCAGTACCTCCAACACTGAAACCGATGGGATTTGGCAAATTACTAGTGTCAACTGCACAATTGAACAGCTGTTTGCATTACCTGCAGGCATTTCATATGGTTTATATTGTGACAATTATTATAACACCTCAAGAACAGGGCACTTCAAGTACTACAGTGGAACATGAAGTTTCTGGCTTTTATACATCTTTATATACATCTTTATCTTTTATACACCAAATTATTTTCTCCGAAAACAGGAGATCAAGACTAAGTTCCACTATCTTATTTTCTAATGCCCCGTGCGGCCAAAGTGAGTCTTTAGATAGGTTTGTAGTCTTATTCTTGTTCCCGTCATTCACACATGGGCATGTGAATTGTTCCATGGCATCCCAACTATGCACTCAGTGCAGGTTATTCATTCCCTTGTCAAGTGTCCTAAAGTACTGTTGTTAGTATTTTAGGGTAATCCAAAGGCGGCCCTGGCCATGGTGAAATTGTGTGATCTAATTCACAGGCAACTGGTTCTGGGAGTGGAATTTACAAGCCCAGTTTATGCACCTGCCTTCTCTATACTTGATACAAGATAAATTCGGTGCCTAGGAGGGAGGCAAGTTTGAGTTCTGGGCCCCGCTCCTGGACAGTTTATGTATTTTACTTTTAAGAGCCATTGATAAAATCCATAAACTGCACTGAGAGCAGGGCCTGAAACCCAAGACTCCATCCCCCTTTCCGACAGCTGTCTCCCCCACTCAACACTTTTTATTTGAGCCTGTTTGCTTCCCTCTTTCCCCTCTACAATATCTGGATGCCAAAGGAAGCATTAAGATAAGATGGGAGAAGTTTCCCTCCTCTATATCCCTAGCACCATTCCTATACCAGCACCATGGCAAAAGGAACAGCTGCAAAGAAAATCCCATTTATCCTCTGCAATGCCAGCTACAACAGAAACAGTGGGGAGGTATACACACAGTTCAGTTATACAGGGTGGCTGTATAGAGAGAGATGGAGCATGCTTTCAGAGAGAAGCTTCAGAGAAATATAGCAAACTCTACAGCTATCCAGTGAGTAAGTGTGAACTGAGATTTTTTTTTTAAGGCTTTTGGGTAAATATTCATCATGATGGCAAAAGGCACATCAGTGCAACCTCTACTCTACCCCGCTCCCAGCCAGAAGAGTGGTACCACAATTTGCAGAAAGGCTTACACGAGATTATTTTTTTATCATGAACAAAACAGCATACTTTGCCCTTATCTAATCTCAAAAATAATTTAATTGTTTTACCTGTAACTCTTCCCTTTCCAGCTTCTCCCCTCTGACCCTTAAGTCAGCCTTAAGTAGGCACCCTCAGAAAATTTTAGCCCAAATGTTTTGTATTCAGCAAAATTAAAAACTGAAAATCAAGTCACAAAAAACAGGATTAGAGAACCAGCAGCCTGCTGAGCAGCCGGCTGACCCCACAAAAGCAGATGAGGCATCCTCAGGGTCCTAGAGCCTACCTTATTCCATCTAGTGTCTCCACAGCATCAGCTGGTTGCTGGGGAGGTGTAGGATGCCGCCCACAGTGGAGACTGGATCTCAATCAGGGGTCCACTGTGGTAAAAGGTTGCCAAATCCTGACATAAATATAATGTGTTGGACAAACATAATTATAGACTGCTGCTTGGGCCACTTGTAAGAACAAAGGTAGAGACAATTAAGTTGAAAGGTAACACATTAACACCAAAAGGAAAAAAAAGTTGTGAAAAACACACACACACACAACTAATCAGAGGAACTCCGTACAAGTTAGCATGGACTCCAAGAGCTTAGCAGGATTCAAAGATTGCTTCTTTAACATACGCGACTCCAAATTAGTAACACACACACACACGCCCCTCCCCCCCACCCCAGGTGGGATATACAACTTTGTGCTGAAGGGTGTAAGCCGACCTTTAGTGAGGTAAGAAAGCTTCTTTAAGATAATTCCTCTATGCCTCCATGATTCCATATTCATCTCTTAGTGAATTTCTTGAACCTTCCTTCTGAACATATTATTGGCCACTGTCACCAAGCAGAGAAATGAACAAAATCAGTGCTGTTCAACCTTCCCAGGTTGAGTCAGAAAATTTGGCAACAGGGAAAACAGTGACAATTAACACTGCCACTGCTCCCTTGCTACCAAACTTTAAAGCCCCACGGGCAGATGACATGGACCCAATGGTCCTAGATTGGGTTAGCATACGGGGCCAGGGTGGCAAACCCAATCCAGCACATGTGGGTCCGGGGCCATGACTGGATCATGCCTGTGTGCCAGCCCTGTGCTGGATCTGGTCTGCAGCCCAATCCCTTGCACTGGACCCAGCCTGTTAACCAACCCCACATAACTCATCCAAACCACAGCCCAAAGTTGAGCTTCTGAAAGGGTTCTTCTGCACCCGCGCAAAAGGCAACTATTTGATTTTCAACACAAGTAAATATTCACATTTAAAAAAAAAATATCTATAGAAGTTTGTAAATCTATTCTTTAGGTCTCAAACATGTGACAGTATCTTTTCAATTAAGGAGCAATATGGCAGTGCTACCCATTCCTAGTCTCCTCAGTGCAGAAGCCATTTTCTTTTCAAATGCTTAGATCCTGGTCCTGCTTCATTGTCTAATTAAAAAGTGCCAACATGGTAGCACCTTCAGTTGTCCAACAGCCCCCAATTCTTTTTCTACATTAATTCAGGGTGTTGGCTGTAGCTGTGTTGATCTAAGGGCATAGACAAGGTTCTAATTAGTCGGTCTAATAAAAGATATCACATTTATCCAAAGAACCTTGTCTTCTACATTAAGACACAGGAAATGGTGTTTTTTTGGCAAGCGCTTGCCCTGCAAGGAAGCGGATGGAAGTTGCTACTCTGCCCTCAATTGGGACACGGAGGAGAGTCAGACCAAGAAAGGCAAAAGACATGGCTAAAGAGCAGCCTGTCCCCTGAATGAGCTGCCTACCCTGTTGCCCTGCCCAATGCAAGAGAGATGCTGAGACCAATGGGCTGAGGAGGCCTGGGAGATGGGGACTTATCTCCACACTGACTGGGATGGGGCAGTTCCCATGGAGCCTGCTGCGGTGTGCTCAGCCAGCCGGATCAGTGTCTGTGCTGCAAGAAGTTAAGTCGCCAACCCCCACATCTGAGAGGAGGCGGCAGCGTTGCCAGGTGTACAATAATTACTGTATTTGTACAATAATTTCAACCTTTGTACAATGTACAACCAATAATAGTAAAAGTGTTCAAAACATACTATAATTTACGAGGCAGCTAATAGATGCAGCATATGCAAAACTCATGTCTAAACTGATTTTTAGATTTTTTTATTTTTTTTTTAAGGAAAATTTTTCATGTCCCAAGTCAAATCATAGTTTCATAGTGCTTAGGGTCAGAAGGGACCTAAACAGATCATCAGGTCCGACCCCGACCCAGGCAGGAACGGGTGCCAGGGTAATAACACTCCAGCCAAATATCTATCCAGCCTCCTCTTGAAGACCCCCAAGGTAGCAGAGAGTACTATTCCAGAGCCTAGCAACCCTAACCATAAAGTAATGTCTCCCGATGTCCAGCCTGAACCTTCTCTCTAACTATTTGTGGCCGTTATTCCTAGTAACCACCAGTGGTGCATGAGGGAGCAGAGCCTCCCCCAATTCCCACTGGTCCCCACCCTGGTGAGTTTGTAAACAGCCATCAGATCCCCTCTCAGCCTTCTATTGTAGAGGCTGAATCCATTCAGGCCCTTTAGCCTCTCTTCATAGGGCCTGCCCTGCTGCCCCTTGACCATGCAAGTGGCCCTCCTCTGGACCCTCTCAATGCTAGCCACATCCCTCTTGAAGCGCGGCACCCAGAACTGGATGCAGTACTCCAACTGTGGCCTAACTAAAGCCGCATGGAGGGGAAGGATCACCTCCCTGGACCTGCTTGTGATGCATTTGTAGATGCACGACAAGGTGCGGTTAGCTTTACTGACTGCTTCCTTGCATTGGTGACTCATATTCATCTAGAGTCAACAATGACTCCAAGATCCCTTTCTGCCCCAGCCTATAGGTGTGTTGCTGGTCCCTTCTCCCTAGATGCAGTACCTTGCACTTGTCTGCGTTGAATTCCATCCTATTCTCATCCGCCCACCTCTGTAACCTGTCTAGATCTAGCTGGATTCTGTCCCTCTCCTCCAGCGTGCCCACCTTGCCCCACATCTTGGTGTCATCAGTGAATCTGGACAGCGTGCTTTCCACACCCACATCCAGATCCCTGATAAAGATGTTGAACAGTACCGACAACAGGACAGAGCCCTGGGGGACTCCACTGCCCACATCCTCCCAGGTCGAAAACCACCACTCTCTGGGTGAGACCATCTAGCCAACTGGCCACCCATCTGACTGTGTAGTCATCAAAGCCACAGTCACCTAGCTTTTTTATGAGAGTGGGATGAGAAACAGTTTCTAAGGACTTCTTGAAGTCCAGATAGACTACATCCACCTCAACGCCCGCATCCAAGGACTTGGTGACCTGGTCATAAAAGGATACCAGGTTAGTCAGGCAGGACCTGCCCTCAATGAATCCATGCTGGTTGACCTGGAGCATTATCTCCACTGCTGAGCCCTTGCAGATGTGCTCCTTGATGATTTTCTCAAAGGTCTTCCCAAGGACCGAGGTAGGACTGACTGGCCTATAATTGCCAGGGTCTTCCTTTCTTCCCTTCTTGTAAATGGGGACCACACTGGCTCTTTTCCAAATCTCTGGTACCTGGCCAGAGCCCCATGAGCACTTATAAAGCTGTACCGGGGCCCCGCTATGACCCCCACCAAGTCAGTTCCAAATCTGAGAGTCAGGGGTCGTCAGCTGGGGGTACATGTACCCTGAGGGTACTTTGGAAGGCCTCAGGAGTATGCGGCAACAGCACACAAAACACTGGTTTTGCTGCTGGACTGGGCAGTCCCCTCCCCCCCAACACACGCTTGTTGAGTGGCTGCTGGGGGACTCTCCACTTCTTGACCAGGCACTGGGAGTACACCAACCAAAAAGTCCCTGCTGTGAGTCATTTAAGAATCATATGTGGCCCTGCTACCAGTGAGCACCCTCCACCCCTGCCTGGGGCTTCAGATACTTCCAAATCCTTTGGTAAGCATCCTAGTGCAGGCCCAAGCCCAGAGACTTGAGGTTCAGATGCCCCCGGGGGTTTTGCTTGCCCTCAGCCCTACAGCTGCAGGAGCAAGCTAGGGTGGAGTCTCCCATTTCCATGAAATCGAGATCCTCCCACTGGAAATGAAAGTGAGAGGCTAACTGGTCTTTAGATTTGCTCCCAGCACTTTCTTCTACGCCTGCGTGCTTTAAAGTAAAGAAACGCTTCGACTTTCACCGCCCAGCTCTTACTCCCTCTCTGCGACTCACAGCTCGCGAGATAAAGGAAAGGGACTTATCCGCATACTTGTTTGCAAACTCGTTTGCGTATCTGCATCCCCCCACCCCCGTGTACAACAGCTTTCCAGCAAACACGGTGGCGTTGAGGTTCCAACGCGATGATCTCACATATAAGACGGACTGAGGCCCGGGCGGACCCAGCAGACCGCCCGGAGGGAAGTAGGCCCCGCCCCCTAGCCCCCCCAGTGACATGACTGGGGGCACCAACAGGCTCCGCCCCCTGCCGGCGCGGGGCAGGGGAAACCCTTCCCGCCCACCCGGGAGAGAAGGAAGCTGCCCCTCGAGCCCTTTCCCCGGGGTTACCTGACGCGGGGCCCAGCCCCGAGGCTCCTGCACAGCCCAGCGCCGCCCGCCGCCACGTCCTCCTTCCGGGGGCTCGCGCTGTGCCGCCGCCGCCGCCTGGCTCGCTCCAGTCGCCAACGGCCCGGGGCGGGCGTTGGGGGCCGCGGGGCCGTAGCCCAGCCAGAGGTGACGGTGGGGGGGTGGGGCAGCGCGACGCCGAGCGGGCGGGAGGGGGCGCGGGGCTGCTCTCCTGGCCTTTTCGTGTGGAGGGCGAGAGGCCCCTGTGGCCGCTTCTCCCCCTGCCCTCTGCACCCCTGGAGGGACATGGGAGGTGCCTGTGGGGGTGTGGAGAGAGGCCTGAGGTTGAATTGCAGTGCGTTGGAAAGCTCGTCTGAAGCCCTGCTACGCGTTACATACATCACGCGGCTCACTGGTGCTTGGCGTAACACAGGTAGACCCATCAACAGGTGCCAAGTGGAGTGATGGCACCTGCACGGGCTGGGCTGGGTGCGTGATAAGTGTAGACGGGCCACATCTGTAAAGTCATTGTTGCACAATGAACTGTCCTGGCCTGCCAGAAACATAGGATGGGCAAGTGTGCAGATAAAGTCATCGTTGTATGTTTAACCAGCACATCCCATGACCAACGCTGATGGGCCACAGGCAAGAAGTAACTATTGCACTGATCTGGCCCATCATGCAATAAAGGTAGACTGGCCGTAGGTGCAGTATAATTATCGCACCATAAAAATTGAGGATTTAGGTATTAAAGAGAGCCAACCTGGTGCAAAGTTTGTGCTTGAAACGGCATAAGGACTCTAAAGCTGGATAGAAACCAGGTATAAACTGAACAGTGCAGCAGGGCCCTAACTCCGGCCCACCCGTGCAGTGGGTCCGATAGAAGATATTGCCCCAGGACACCCTTGCTGCTCCCATTGAAGACGGCCGAGTGCTTTGAGGAAGCAGTAGTCCTGTTACACAATCTTAGAGGGGGGGGGAGGCTGGAGCCGGAACTGCACATAAATACTACAGGCATGGGATGCATTTATAATCTAGCTTTGCCGTTGCTTGTGCATACTCAGCTGCCTTGCTTTGTTTTCTTCTACTTGTCTATTTTTCAGAACCCCTCAGCCACTGCACATACACTTCCCTCCTTGTAATCAACTAGTTACATTCATAGTTGTGAAGGAGGAAAAGAAATAAAAATCTAATCTTCCATTAAGAAATGATCCTAGTCCAGAGTCCGTGATACAGGATTTGGTTCTGGACTGACCTGTGTTTTTTAGACTAAAAAAGATTTTAAAAAAACACTTGCCAGACTTAACAATATTACTTTAAAATATTTAAGTGATTCTGAGAGTCTAGAACCACGAACCTCACTACTGAAGGATTGAGATTCTTGGCTTCCTGCCTGAACCCAGTAGGAGTGCCTAAAACTTTAAAAGTGAAATTTTTCAGTTTGTTTACCAAAAAAATGATTATACACTTGGATTTGTGTTAAACTAATAGATCTGGTGTTTTTAGTTTCAGCTATAAAGTCAAAGTAGAAATATCCTTAAATTACACCTGATTCTTAATTCCATATATTGTTTTTAGTCATTTGTCTTTCCCTTAGCTGCATAACAGTGACCACAAACAATAGAAAAAATAATCAAAAGAAAAGAATTAGTCAAACTGATTAAACCATTGAGCTGTCATAGAAACAGAAAATTTTCAAGTTAAGTTTGAAAGCGAATACTCTGCTTGCATATGCACACTCAGGGCAAGTTAATAGTATTCTTGGCCAAGTGCCGTCAGTGTCTGTAGAATCTGCCTTTCATTTTCTTGAAAAGGAAAAGCATCCATTTTCAATATCGTTATGAACATTTAAGAAGCATCTTATATTCAGAAAGAATGGCATAACATAGCTTTTTTTTATTATAAACTATTCATTATTTGTTTATCATAACTTTCAAAAACATTGACAGTCAGTTATGTTACTTAAAAATGAGTAGCTTATTTGTAGCGTAGCTGTCAAGCTGCATTTTGGGAAGTCTGGATTAACAGGGAAAAGGCTAACAATTTATTTTGCTTCCTTCTAGATCCCTCTTTAGTTTCTGCTTCCTAGAATCCATCCTAAAATGTCTGAACTTAAGCAAAGAAAGAAAGTTAGTCCTTCACCTAAGCTCAGTGAAGATCTGCACAAGGCTGAGAAGCAAAGCAGCCATGGGGAACCATCAGGTCCCAGGAACAACAATAGTCAGAGTTCCTTTCCAAGAGACTCACGGACAGCCTTAAGCCTACTTTCCTTACTAGTTTGCGTAGTGCTGAGCTGGTAAGTGACCTTCCAAACGTAGGCAAATTTTTAGCCTTTGTTCAATTGTGTTCTTTTCTGGCTTTTTCCATGTCATACCTAGTGAAGTCCGCAAAGTAAAATATGAACGGAAGACAGCATTCAGTTCTAGTGTGTTCACACTCTAAAGGAAGATGGTGACAAACTAGAAAGCATTCAGAAAGTTGTTGCAAACCGGAGGTCTGGAAACTGAAAGTGAAAATTTAAAGTAATCTTGCTCTATTTTGCTTAAGCAAAGGATAGGTGACTTTATTATGCTTTATATGTATATATACACACAAGGATATTATTTTTAATACTGTTAGATTTAAAAAAATCTTCCAGATCAAGGCATACACAAGATTCATTGGCTAGATTCATACGAGAAGTCAGTTTCTTGCAGTCGGGGTCATTAGCCATTGAAATAAGTTATGTAAGGCTTTGGGGGATATTCTGTCATGCAATATTTTTAAATCCACATTTGATCTTTCAAAAAGATAAACTGTAGATCTACCACAAATCATGTGATCAACACAGAACTTACTCCGTGAAATTCTCTGGTTGTGTTATACAGGAGAATATCATTATAATGGTACCTTCTGATTCTGAAAGGATATAGGTACAATCTTGGTTCTGTTTTAAACCAATGGCAAAACTTATTTCAGTGGGGCCAGAATTGCATCTTGTCTGTATAACAAGAGGGTGATCTAAAAATAAAAACTATTTAATAGTAGCTCTGCTTAGATCATGGACCAGCAAGCTTTTCAGGCTGTGGGCTAGATTGATCCAGTTCAGATCAGAGGGCTAATACACAGGTGGTAGAACTCAGATACTACCACCACTTTTCTCATTGGCTGCAAGGGGGAAGCA